GACCCCGAGACGGTGCCTACCTACGACGAGCGCAGGCAGACACCGCCAAAGTGGCGCTGGATGTGGTCAGCGTTCATCTGATGGACCAGCGCCGCAAAGCGACCCTTCCATCGAGGAACAAAGGCCTCATCCAGCCCCGGCTGGTACACACCACGGGCCTCGGCGCAGCGGGCGAGCTGACCAAGCAGATCCACAAAGGAGGAGGCGAACCCACCGGTTGTCGTCATCGCCGCAGGGACGATCAGAGTTTTTCCATGGTTGAAACCGGTGTAGTAGTCGCGCTTCTCCTTTTCGGCTCGGCGAAGGGCAGCGCCCACCTTGATGCAGGCTTGCGAGGTGGTCGGGGGTTGGGCTGTGCGCACAGTCACGTCAATGCCCAGGTCGGGCAGAGCTGGGCCCAGGGCACCGCCGGGAAAGGGGTTGCGGCAGTGCAGGTCGATGCGGCAGCTCTGACCGTTGGGGTTGTAGCCAGACTTTTCCACCCAGACATGGGAGAGGGTGGCGTACCTGAGCAGGCGGCCCATCTCGTCGCGAAGGGCGTTGTGACGCTTGATGGGACGGCAGGTCAACAGGTGCTCGCGGGTCAGTCGCGGCTGAGGTGTCTTGCTGCTGCAGAGCGGGCACTTGTCCGTCGGCTTGATGTTGATGAGTTCATGCAGGCCAAAACCCATCATGGACACGACCGCAATGGCAAAGGTCGTGTCGCTCAAGCGACGCAACTTGTCTCGACCCCGCATGGTCAAGACTGTGCTGACGCCCCACTCGCGTGAGGCCAGATATGCCTGCCTTGGCCATCAGGTCGTCCAGTGCCGCCTTGGAGCGGAGGGCAATGATCTCAGCTGGTCGCTGGGTCGCCGCGTCCTTGACCGTGGCCATCTGGAAGCCGGCTCGCTGCACGTGGGCCTCAAAGTCGGCAGCCCTCGATTCATCCTCCAAAAGTCGATCGTAGACCCGAGGGTAGCGAGTGGCCAGCTTGGCCATGTTGCAGACATAAGCCACCGGACCGCGCTCAACCAAGTCGTGCAGGCCAAAGCCCCCGGTGTTGGCCCGCGTGAAGAGGCGAGCCTCAAGGAGCTGTTCCAGCGTAACGTTATGACCTTCAGCTCCAGCTGGTGCAGACAGGTTTACCTTGGCAAAAAAGGCTTTGACAAAGGTGTCCTTGCAAGCACGGTTCAAGAGCTCGGACAAGCCCGACGTGAGACTTGGGGGCAGCGTGTAGAGGTGGTTGATGAGGCTAGGCACGTACTGCATGGCCGTGAGGAGGGCCTGAAGCGAGACACCGGTCGTCAGCATGTCATTGAGCTTGCCAGCAATGTGCTTTGTAGCCAGACTTTTCCACCCAGACATGGGAGAGGGTGGCGTACCTGAGCAGGCGGCCCATCTCGTCGCGAAGGGCGTTGTGTCGCTTGATGGGACGGCAGGTCAGCAGGTGCTCGCGGGTCAGTCGCGGCTGAGGTGTCTTGCTGCTGCAGAGCGGGCACTTGTCCGTCGGCTTGATGTTGATGAGTTCATGGAGGCCAAAACCCATCATGGACACGACCGCAATGGCAAAGGTCGTGTCGCTCAAGCGACGCAACTTGTCTCGACCCCGCATGGTCAAGACTGTGCTGACGCCCCACTCGCGTGAGGCCAGATATGCCTGCTGCAGGTCCAGCGCACACTTGGCCATCAGGTCGTCCAGTGCCGCCTTGGAGCGGAGGGCAATGATCTCAGCTGGTCGCTGGGTCGCCGCGTCCTTGACCGTGGCCATCTGGAAGCCAGCTCGCTGCACGTGGGCCTCAAAGTTCAGAGCTCCAGCGGACGCATCAGAGCTCCAACGAACGCATGAGAACACGGGCAGGTGGATCAGCGCAGAGGCTTGCCGATCCGAGCTCGGGCTATCCGATGCCCGATCAGATCTCGACATGTCGAAGCATCGAAGTTCAGAGCTCCAACGAACGCATGAGAACTCGGGCTTGCGGATCAGAGCAGAGGCTTGCCGATCCGAGCTCGGGCTATCCGATGCCCGATGAGATCTCGACATGACGAAGCATCGAAGTTCAGAGCTCCACCGGACGCATCAGAGCTCGGGCTGGCGGATCAGAGCAGAGGCTCGCCGATCCGAGCTCGGGCTATCCGATGCCCGATCAGATCTCGACATGACGAAGCATCGAAGTTCAGAGCTCCACCGGACGCATCAGAGCTCGGGCTGGCGGATCAGAGCAGAGGCTTGCCGATCCGAGCTCGGGCTATCCGATTCCCGATCAGATCTCGACATGTCGAAGCATCGAAGTTCAGAGCTCCAGCGGACGCATCAGAGCTCCAACGAACGCATGAGAACTCGGGCTGGCGGATCAGCGCAGAGGCTTGCCGATCCGAGCTCGGGCTATCCGATGCCCGATCAGATCTCGACATGACGAAGCATCGAAGTTCAGAGCTCCACCGGACGCATCAGAGCCCGACCGGACGCATGAGAACTCGGGCTTGCGGATCAGAGCAGAGGCTTGCCGATCCGAGCTCGGGCTATCCGATGCCCGATCAGATCTCGACATGTCGAAGCATCGAAGTTCAGAGCTCCAGCGGACGCATCAGAGCTCCAATGAACGCATGAGAACACGGGCAGGTGGATCAGAGCAGAGGCTTGCCGATTCGAGCTCGGGCTGGCGTATCAGCGCAGAGGCTTGCCGATCCGAGCTCGGGCTATCCGATGCCCGATCAGATCTCGACATGTCGAATAATAAATTAGGTGTTTGAACCTCAGAGCTGAAAGCAAAGCTGTGCAACCCCGACATCAACATCACAAGGGCACGCAAAACAACACAAGAGAACAAGTTACATTCGCTGGCTTTTATCATGCCAAGAAGTACAAGCGCGAAGAATCCTGCACACAGAACCAAAAATCGTACAAAACGACCAAGTATAGCCAGAGATACGGCCATTTCAAACACAAGACACCCAAAAAGGGAGTCACACATATCACAACTACAAGCCATCACAGCACAAACACAATGAACACCACGGCACGCTCACATCCAACGAGACACAACGTCGGATTGAGGAAAACAACTGGCCACAGAAGAAAAAGACATCATACAAAGGACCTTACAAAAATTTAGCAAAATTACCACAAAATACAGCAAAAATTAAAGCAAAATTAAAACAAAAATACAAGTCAAGCCATCAAAAGACACAACGAGGAACCACCAAGGGAGCGACAGGTGCACACAGGGATCCCCACAGAGGGACCCCCGAGGCGGTGCCTACCTACGACGAGCGCAGGCAGACACCGCCAAAGTGGCGCTGGATGTGGTCAGCGTTCATCTGATGGACCAGAGCCGCAAAGCGACCCTTCCACCGAGGAACAAAGGCCTCATCCAGCCCCGGCTGGTACACACCACGGGCCTCGGCGCAGCGGGCGAGCTGACCAAGCAGATCCACAAAGGAGGAGGCGAACCCACCGGTTGTCGTCATCGCCGCAGGGACGATCAGAGTTTTTCCATGGTTGAAACCGGTGTAGTAGTCGCGCTTCTCCTTTTCGGCTCGGCGAAGGGCAGCGCCCACCTTGATGCAGGCTTGCGAGGTGGTCGGGGGTTGGGCTGTGCGCACAGTCACGTCAATGCCCAGGTCGGGCAGAGCTGGGCCCAGAGCACCGCCGGGAAAGGGGTTGCGGCAGTGCAGGTCGATGCGGCAGCTCTGACCGTTGGCGTTGTAGCCAGACTTTTCCACCCAGACATGGGAGAGGGTGGCGTACCTGAGCAG